GCTTTTTCTGCTTATGTGGTGCTGAGGAATCAAACCCAGGGCCTCATGCATGCAAGGCAAGCACTCTACCACTGAGCCACCTTCCCAGCCCAACACCTGAATCTTAGAAGGGCACATGACAACCCCAGTACTCATCCAGGGCTGGACCCTATTAGGTTCTGGGTGTGTTGTTGTGACAGGGATCTGACTTCTCTCCCACCAACAGAAGTGTTAAGTACTTAGAAAATCTTTTCTTCTAAAAGGAGAGCCTCCTTCATCTTTCTGGAGCTGATCTCACTCTCAGCCCCAGTCCTGCCTCTGGAGCAGGGAACAAAGGCACTTGTGATTCCTCTGGGGTTATGTGTTCTGTGTGAAGATGGTCCCCCATCATTCCCAGGCTCCTCATAGTGTTTTGGAGCAGATATTTCACAGGCTCAGGCACAAAAACCAATGCAGTTTTTAAAATAAATACGTTGACTAGGAATTATGCTTTCTCTTGGAGAATCTATCATTTTTGCATTTGGTGGTCATCAGCAATTCAAGCTAACAGGCTCATGTTGTTGATGTCCTTGGCATGTCTCTGGTTCAATACAAAAACACACTGGAGAGGCATTGAACAGGTAGAATTGACCCGACTTGGTCACCAATTAGGAAGGAGAAATTTTCTGCAGGGAAAAAGAAGACTCTCTCAATTGTTTGAGTAACTTGGTACCCAGCGATGCCATTCATTTAGATTGAAAGCACAGAAGAGGTCAAGGTGCAGACTGGTAATGAGTTTAGTTCTAGGTACCTAGAATTAGAGGCTTGGAGTAGCATCTAGATGCCTCCAGGATAGTGATCAGGACCCACTGGAGAAGCTGGATGAGCAGGGAGCAGAGAGGCAAGAGAAGAGAAGGCAGAGGACAGATTCCTGGAGGGACCTCAACAAGTTGGAAGTGAGTTGAGGAAGAGGCTCCCTGAGAAGAAACAGTTGGGAAAGTCACAGGAGACCCAGGTTGGAGGGAAGAAGGGTTTCATCAGTTATGCTTTAGGGTGGGGGGACACTGTCAGGTTAGTCTCTATGAATGATAGTGTAGGGGAAAGCGGAGCCCAATGAGAGGGGTGACAATGATAATAAACATAGACCACTCTTCTAATGATTTGGTTGTCAGGGAGAACAACAGAGGCTGCCTGGGGAATTGTGATGCTAAGAGAGGTCAGCATGGCTGGATAGTCTTTGTAGACTGAAGAGACCACACACGTCTATGGATTTCCAGTTAGAGAGATTGGAGATAACCAAGGGCCAGTTCTGGTCCCAGAGAGCACAGAAGAGGGAATGGAGTGCCCAAGGGAACAGACACCTGTCTCATGGCCTGGGGGACATAGGCGGTGGAAGACTTTACATCATCTAGGGCCAGGATGGAAAGTTCAGAGATAATTAAATACAACTGGTCGTTATTGGACATATTCAAAGTAAAATATGTCAACCAAATTAATGGAGTGGAATGTATCCATTTTTGTCCACGAGTGTTGATCTTCCCAAGATCTAACACCAGCCTCAAGAAGCTTCTTCAAATCTTTGCAAAAATCTCCAGGAACAGAAGATAGTAACAAGATACAAGCCTTTAATTTTTATGAATTTGAAACACAAGAGGCCAAAAAGAAAAGGCGGGGGAAGACTTTTCATTTGTTAGGTATATAGAAGTGGATTTTTATAATTAGGTTCCAATAGAGTTTTCAGTGGACAGAAAAATTACTTGAAATTATAGGATATCAATTATATTCACGAGACGGTTCACATTATAAAAGACTCACCTGCTGTGGCATGACTGTCACAGAGATCTGAGCATTTTCCTGGGTGGATGTCATAGGCTGTCACTGGAACATGGACATCTGCAGTGCAGGAGTCACTGGCTTGGAAACTTTGAGGTCCCATCACTAAAATGGGTCCCACTGCTAATTTTCTGGCATTTTTTGTGTCAGAGCACAAGCTAACAGTTTAGGCTGAGTGTTATTCCAGGCCTCTCTTTCCCTTCTCCCTATGGAAAAAAATGGGCTCAAGTCACATCCTGGCTTACTGGAATGAGAGTGATGCTGACAGACAGGTCAAACAGGGGAGCGCTATATTGTCTTCTCTAAATTCTCAACTTCACCCTATAAATAAGTAAATAAATATTCATAAATTTATAGTATAATTTATTCATTCCAC